ATTTTGAGCTGAAACTTCACAGACACATTCTGGGGACACCAGAGACTTATATTACATATTGTAAAAAGGGGCATAATATGTGTCCTTTAATGTATTTATTTTTCCCTGCAGGAAGGTCCCTGTCTCCGTCCCGTCTGCGGCGAGCAGCGCGTCCCATCCTGTCTAAGCTCAGTCTGGTGAAGGTCGCCCCTCATCAGCCGTCCTCGCCTCAGCCGTGGGACAGTCCGACCCAGAGCCGTGTCCTCCGCTCCTACATGAGCCCCACTACCAGCTCCATGGCCAAAACCAGCCGCTCTGCGTCCATCGGCGACAGCCTGCATGTGGGCAGCAGCTCCTGCGAGAGTCTGGTGCTCCCCGTGCCGTCCCTCCTCACAAACACCGTCAGACCCCACGTGTGTCAGCGCCTGAGCAGATCGGCTTCATCGCAGAACCTTCTCTCTGACCCGAGCGCTTCTTCATCCTCCTCCTCCTCCTCCTCCAGCAGCACAGACCCCCAGCAGACGCTGTCTCACACGCCTCGAGCGGAGGTCAAGGCTTTCTCTGTGATGTCTGACTCTCCTGATGATCAAGGTTTGCCCTGGCGACGCTCTTCCTCCGTCATGCTTCTTCCTCTCTGTTTCTCTCCCTTCTTCTCGCTCTCCTCCAGCCGTCTGTGTGTTTCGGGTGAGTTCACGCTGTGTTCATATTCTCTCAGTCATTCGTTACCGCTGGTTTGGTTTCTCCTGCTGTGTGATGGTTCTGATATCTAGATGTTTTAGCAGCTGATGTCGTGCGATCAGTCTTTCACAGACTGACGACGCTTCTCCACAGTTACTAACATCATAAATTAAGCAACGTTTTTTTAATATTTATTTTCATTTTTAAAAATGTAATGTACATTTATAACACTATACTTTGTTTTCTTACCCTGGTATTGAATAACATTAAGCTAGTTAACACTGCAGTGTGATGGTAAATTTGACATCTTTTTTTTTTTTGACCAACATATACAATCTCTCTATTTTTTCCTCTTTTGGAATATCAGAAAAACACTATGGACGTTGTGTTTTTAAAACACATTCTGACGGCACCCATTCACTGCAGAGCATCCATTGCTGAGCACATTTTATAGCAGCTTCAAATGCGTCTCATAAGTCTGTATTGGTGACGTTCTGATGGACTCTGTCATTGATCTGATGATGGTGATGTTCACAGAAGCGTCGGTCGGGCTGGAGCTCTGCAGGCGGGCCGCAGCTGATCTGTGCAGCAGTGTGAGGACAGCGACGCGGCTCTACAGGACGGTGAGTGACTAGTGAACTTCAGCTCTGTAAGTCTGTCACTTCTGCAGCATGCTCATCGATGGCACCGAGTCATTACTATATCTCTGTGTGGTGTTTCAGCTGATCTCCCATGATGCCGAGCGCAGTGCAGAGCAGCAGCAGATGCATCAGCTGATGTCAGACGCGCTGCTGCTCGTGCGATCGGAGCTGGATTCAGTGTCTGGATCGTCTGGAGCTGTGAGGATGGAGGAGGGAAAGGAGACGCTCGCGTTACTGGAGCAATACTCACAACTGCTGCTGCGCTCGGTGCAGAGGAGACTCCATCAGGACGAGTAGAGCTGCAGATCCACGCGTGTGTGTGTGTGTGAGAGAGAGAGTGCGTGTCTGTGTGTGAGAGTGTGTGTGTGTGTGCGCGCATGTGTGTGCGTGTGTGTGTGAGAGAGCGTGTGTGTGTGTGTGAGTGAGAGAGAGAGTGTGTGTGTGTGAGTGAGAGAGTGTGTGTGTGTGTGTGTGAGAGAGCGTGCGTGTGTGTGTGTGTGTGTGTGAGAGAGAGAGTGCGTGTCTGTGTGTGAGAGTGTGTGTGTGTGTGTGTGTGCGCGCATGTGTGTGCGTGTGTGTGTGAGAGAGCGTGCGTGTGTGTGTGTGTGAGTGAGAGAGAGAGTGAGAGAGTGTGTGTGAGTGAGAGAGTGTGTGTGTGTGAGTGAGAGAGTGTGTGTGTGTGTGTGTGTGTGTGTGAGAGAGAGAGTGTGTGTGTGTGAGTGTGTGTGTGTGTGTGTGTGTGTTGAGTGAGAGTGAGTGTGTGTGTTGAGTGAGAGTGAGTGTGTGTGTTGAGTGAGAGTGAGTGTGTGTGTTGAGTGAGAGTGAGTGTGTGTGTTGAGTGAGAGTGAGTGTGTGTGTTGAGTGAGAGTGAGTGTGTGTGTTGAGTGAGAGTGAGTGTGTGTGTTGAGTGAGAGTGAGTGTGTGTGTTGAGTGAGAGTGAGTGTGTGTGTTGAGTGAGAGTGAGTGTGTGTGTTGAGTGAGAGTGAGTGTGTGTGTTGAGTGAGAGTGAGTGTGTGTGTTGAGGGAGAGTGAGTGTGTGTGTGTGTGTGTGTGTGTGTGAGTGAGTGAGTGTGTGTGTGTGTGTGTGCGCGTGTGTGAATGTGTGCATGAATGAGTGTGTGCGTGTGTGTGCTTGAGTGTGAGTGAGTGAGTGCGTGTGTGTGTGTGCTTGAGTGTGAGTGAGTGTGTGTGCATGTGTGAGTGTGCGTGTGTGTGAGTGAGTGAATGTGTGCGTGAATGAGTGTGTGTGAGTGTGTGTGAGTGTGTGTGTGAGAGTGTGTGCTTGAGTGTGTGTGAGTGAGTGTGTTTGAGTGTGAGTGTGTGTGTCTGTGTGAGTGAGTGTGTGTTTGAGTGTGAGTGTGTGTGCGTCTGTGTGAGTGAGTGAGTGTGTGCGTGAGTGTGTGTGAGTGTGCGTGTGTGTGCTTGAGTGTGAGTGAGTGTGTGTGTGTGCGTGTGCGAGTGTGTGCGTGAGTGAGTGTGCGTGAGAGTGTGCGTGAGTGAGTGTGTGCGTGAGTGTGTGTGAGTGTGCATGTGTGTGAGTGAGTGTATGCGTGAATGAGTGTGTGTGTGTGTGTGTGCTTGAGTGTGAGTGAGTGTGAGTGCGTGTGTGTGCGTGAGTGAGTGAGTGTGTGTGTGTGTGTGTGGGTGTGTGT